TGCCTGGCAGGGCTGCACCAAGCACACACTGGCTCCCGCTGCTCCTGCCCCATTTGCCTGTCCCATGCCTGCTAGGCAGGGCTTTGTGAGCAGCAAAGTTCCTTCATGCCCACCCCCCTCCTCCATCCACACACTCCCCCACCCAGCCATGCATGAGCAGGACTAAAGTGAGCTGCAGGCAGAGCCTGCCCCCTCCACCCCCCACTCCCCTCATTGCTGCAGCTTCCCCTCCCTGCCTGCTACCCGGAACACTGCAGCAGGGACAGCAGGAGTGGCTAGAGGCTGGGGAGCCACTGGGTGGCTGTAGCAGTGGCAGCAGCAGCAGCCCTGCCTGGAAACTGTGCCTGCTGGCTGGGGCTGGCACCCTCTGGCAGGGTAGGCTGCACACCCTGCCCTAGGCAGGAGTGAGTGGGACTGAGCCTCATGCCGAGCACAGCAGGGGCAGCAGCCAGTGGGGCTGAATACAGTTAATTGGTGGGTGCCAGCCTATAGGCTGGATCCAATCAGCTGGTGGGCCAGATCCAGCCTGCAGGCCATATTTTGCCCACCCCTGGTCTAGCTCCATCCTCTTTCAAACTACCCTTTGTGGCAGAATGCCATCTCTGTCTCTCCCCAAACTCTATCAGGCGGGTGACCAATCTTACAATTTGGTTACCATGGTCACTGCAGAGGGCAGACATCCCTGGCCTCATTGGCTTCAGGTAATCCTGAGTTGTAACCTGAGCTGGATATATTCCTGAGGGAGGGGGAAACCTGCTCCCTCTGCCTACGTGACTGGCCTTACACACCTGGGTCGGGGCTTAAACTCCCTATTGTTCTAAGCAATGCCAACCTGACTGGGAGGGGGCTAAAGACCCTGCCAGTCTGCCCAGCAACCAGCGATTCATTTCAAATAGGTTAGCTGGCAGCCAACAGGTGCTGGTCTCCACTGGACCAAGTAAATGAGGTCATAAGTACTACGTAAGTTAAGGACTGCCCAGGAGGAGGGACAGTAGCCATGACGAAAACTCAGGGAGAGAAGAGCTGGACCATCTGAAACTTGCTGTCTCTCTTGAAACTCATGGTCAATGAACAGCTTGCCTCCAGAGGAAATCTCCACCTGCCTCTGGATGACACTTCTGAGTAAGCTACTTGAGAGCTAACTAAATATATAGCTTGCAGTAATACAGGTGTGTAGTCAAAGGCTACCATGCTATTGTTTGCTCTAAGGTATTTCTCTGATACTGCTCTACCCTGTACCCTATTCCAAACCTACTCCTTGTAACCAATAAAGTTCTCCTCCATATCTACCGAGGGAGACTTATTGGGAGAGGGTCTAGATTATGCCTTGGGGGTCCCCTTGGTTTGGCTAAGGGAGACCATTATTTGTGCTTCAGACTGAGGGAAGCACCCCATGTTAGTACCATAGTATCACAGTACTTAGGGTTGGAAGGGTCCTAAACTGATCATCAGGTCCGACCCCCTGCCCCAGGCAGGAACAGGTGACAGGGTCATATCACCCCAGCCAAATATCTGTCCAGCCTCCTCTTGAAGACCCCCAAGGTAGGACAGAGTACCACCTCACTTGGAAGCCCATTCCAGAGCCTGGCAGCCCTAACTGTAACGTAATGTCTCCTGATGTCCAGCTTGAACCTTCTTGCAAACAATTTGTGGCCGTTATTCCTAGTAACCATGGGTGGTGCACAGGGGAACAGAGTCTCCCCCAATTCTCGCTGGTCCCCAAGGCCAGATCCCCTCTCAGCCTTCTCTTGTGGAGGCTGAATAAGTTCAAGCTCTTTTGCCTCTCTTTGTAGGGCCTGTCCTGCTGCTCCTTGACCATGCGAGTGGCCCTTCTCTGGACCCTCTCAGTGCTAGCCACATCCCTCTTGAAGTGCAGTGCCCAGAACTGGACGCAGTCCTCAAACTGTGGCCTGACCAATGCCACATAGAGGGGAAGGATCACCTCCCTGGACCTGCTTGTGACACATCCGTAGATGCACAACAAGGTGCAGTTAGCCTTACTGACTGCTTCCTCGCATTGGCGGCTCATGTTCATCCTGGAGTCAACAATGACTCCAAGATCCCTTTCTGCCACCATATTGACAAGGGTGTTCCACAGCCTATAGGTGTGTTGCTGGTTCCTTCTCCCTAGATGCAGTACCTTGCACTTGCCTGCATTGAATTCCATCCTATTCTCATCCGCCCACCCCTGTAATTTGTCTAGATCTACTTGGATTCTGTGCCTCCCCTCCAACATGCATACCTCGACCTACAACTTCATCAGCGAATTTGGACAGCATGCATTCCACATCCACACCCAGATCGCTGATATAAGTTCTTGAAGGGGGCCAAGTGCCCCTCAAGGGCTACTAGGCCTGTGTATCCCAAGAGGCACAAGGCCAAGATCAGTCCAGACCCTTGGTGGTGGCAGTGTTACCCCCAGGCTTGTGGGTGGGCTCCAGGAAGGGGGTTGGCTGGACATGAGGTGCCCCCAGGGAGGCACTCGGAGCCTGGAAGGTGGTCGGGAGCAGTGGGGTGGGTGGCTCAATGCAGGAGCACCCCCTACTGGCCCACCACACCCTTCAGATAGTTGCAGGGCACACTGCTGACTCATATCCATCTTATTGTCCGCTGTAACCCCCAGGTCCTTTTCTGCAGAGCTGCTGCTTAGCCGATCAGTCCTCAAGCTGTTGTGGTACATGGGATTCTTTCGGCTCCCTGGACTGGCTAGGCCCCTTTGTTAGGACCATTTCTCACACCCAGGAAGAAATCAGTCCACTCAGCTGCTCAGAGAACACATCTAAACACACAAACCCACCAAACAACCCTCAGCAAGCCAAGCACACAGACAACCCTGGCTCAGTTCTCTCCCAGAGCAGGATCTGGTACCTGGTTCCTCTTCTGCTTTCTCCTCTTGTTCCCAGCAAATGGTCCCATTTGCTTCTACCTGTTCGCTGCTAATACTGTTGCATGGCTCAGTTTCTCTGATTATTGTATACAGGGAAAGAAGGGATTATTTGTGTTTGGGACCAGAGCTGGAGGGGATTTGCCCAAGTCCAGTAATGGGCCATCAAGCAATAAGGAGCCTTTGTTGATCCATGAAGCCCCTGTACCTGAAGAGACTCCCTGCTGTTTACGGTGCCAGTAAGCCACTTGAGAGAAGGTCCTGAAAGGGGAGAGCCCAAAAACCAGGGACAAGTGGTGTTGAGAGAAAAAACAGCCAGGGCTACTTTTCTTTTGACAAAATTTGCTTGGGCTTCACTGCCTGTTGTCTTCCTGTGGACCAATAAAGGTGTTTTGTTTCAAGAACTGCCTGTTTCACTTCATGCAACTTTGGGTATGCTCCATCTCCTTGAACAGGTAAAGTCCTTCTCCAGGAGCTAAGCTAGAATGCAGCTGGGGATATGAGGTGCATAACTGGGGGAGGGTACAGACCAAAAGGCCAGGTCTTGGAGTTCAAGGAGCCAGGGATTCACCCTCTCTAGAAGTTATGCCTGGGATGATTTCAGGGTATTCTCCAAGAGACTGTATAATGAGGGGATCCAAAGCAACTGATCACTTGGCAAATCTGAAACAACCATCTTCAGCAAAGAAAAAACAAAGCTGATGAGAAGTAAATTAAGTTGATGCTCAAAAGGAAGAATAAGGAAGCCACCTGGAGAAGGGAAATTTCCTACTGGCAGCAACCTCTCCTCTACCCAGACATGTCAGAAGGATTAACAGGCAATCATTTATCTTCTCAGGAGATTAAAAATAGCAGGAGAGCAGAGGTGTAACAACCACAGCCAGGTGCTTGGAGCAGCTACAACACAGAAGGCAGTGGTGACTTCTGGCTAATGCAATGCTACCTGCACAGTTGTGTAGCTGCCAGTTTTAAGACTAAGCATTTATGTAAAACTAACCTTAGTGTTACCAGTTTGCCTGAAGCTGCATTGGAAAGAAGGTTAAAAGCTGCCTCGGATTTACGAGGAGAACTGTCTCTGGAAAAAATATTCACACGCTGGCAGCAATGTGTATACATAAAGCATGAAAAGATGGTGTTTTTAAAGGGATACTATTGAGAGCAGGGTTCTTTTAATTTAATCTAAACCACAGGGCATGCTACAAGGCACATCTGCTTGCATGAGCTGCCACAGGGATTGGAACATGCAGAAGGGCACACTGAGCAAAGACTGCAGGCACATGTTGCTGGCTGTTTAGTTTTATTTCTGTTTTTGCGGGGGGGGAGGGGGGGGGAGTTAGCATGCTGACTACAGAACCATTTCTTACATTCATCTACAAATCAAGCTGAAGATGACAACTGATAATCTTTGTCAAGAACACAATTCTGTCCTCCAATTCCAAGATGCAAAATTAAAAATCAGAGTTCGTCATCCTCCAATTCCTAAAGACTACTGAGAAGAAGCAACTACAGGGACTCTGGAATGGTATTCATTACACCTGTTGCACTTGTTGCTAACGTACCCGTCTCTCTCTCTGTTCCCTGTTTCTGCCTACGCGATAACTCTACACGTCTGTATCCAACTCCTACTAAAGTCAAAAGGATTTTGCATGCAACCACCTGAGAGAAACAGCATAGTTTTCAATGTCATCTTTCTGTTACCAGCTACACTAGTTTCCAAAACAACATCCTTTCCTTGATGTGGCTGCTTCCTTTGTACTCTTTACTCAGCTCTGACAGCAAAATGGGGCTTGGCCCTTTCAGCCTCCTGCTTCACTCTGTGGTTCTCCTGGGGTAACTCAGCACTGCTATATTTAATGCCAAAACCCAAGTAAAGATTACACAGAAATGAATTAATGAAAATGACTTCCATTCATGCAAACATAGCTTTTACAAACAAAGCAATAAATATGAAGGTTATTCCCAAAACTTCTGTAAATTTGTTTAGTTTTAGAAACAAAATATTTCTTAATTTGTTTAGTTTTTCTTTCCTGGAACATAATACTATGCTAAGGCCATGGCTTGCCAACATCCCAACCTGCTAACTATCTAGAAAACATATAATATAAAAGGTGTTTACCATTTCAACCGACCCATCTTTTGGATAATACAAGAGTTCAAAGCGTCGAAAGAGAGATGCATTTGGGTCGTACCATTCAGCAATGAAAGCAAATCTGTCGTCTTGACTCTGAAAGAAAAGGGTAATAGGGTTTCAACAGCAGTCATATGAGGGATCATTTCATTTGTTACTTCCCCAAATGCAGACAGGCGGACTAGTAAATATGCTTTGGCATTGTGCACTCAGAAACTGTCTTCTCAAAGGCTGACAGCAGCGTTCCAACTTCTGAATTGGCCCAGATCTCAACGGAAGGCCTTTGGCAATCTGGAGCTGGCATTCAAATAATAACAATCAAAACATGATTTCTCTTGTTCTGTCCATGCTACCAAAAACAAATAAAACACACTTTGCAGAGGGGTTCTGTTACACCAGTCACTAGACATTATCAAAATTCAGTCAAGTCCCATCTACAAGGCAAGACCAAGCTGTTATAGAAACAGCTTTCAGTTTCATAACTTTCTGAGAGTAAACTAAACCAGGCTTGCTACCTTGCCCTCTTTTTTTCTTGTTATAAAAAGTTCATGTACTCATGAATAACTATAGAACCTTTACAAATATAACAGATAGCCCAAAGGAAAGCACTGTCCCTGCCCCTGAGGTGGAAAAATTCTGAATTTCTTCTGCTAATACATGGAAAAATGCATTGAGGCTGAGGGCAACATTAGCTTGTCTGTACCCTATTCTCCTGTCATTTCATGGAAGACCTGTGCAACTTGAGCTCGTCTAGAACTAAATATCCTATTTGTTATATGAAAGAGCTGGAAAAGGCAGTGTGTTTCATTTTGAATCCATCCAAATTTAGCTGCATGTACTGGACCTCAGCACTCCTAGTCTTCCCCATGGGACCCCTTCAGCCCAAGCCACTGACAAAAATACATCTTTAAAACTTTCCAGCATAAAATTAAGCCTTATCATTGAAAAGCTGACAACCAGATGTTTTTCAGAGGAGGCGCTGATGTACCCCTAATACCAATGACCTGCTCTGACAAGGACAACTTGTGCAATGTGGGAGCTTCATGAAAAGTAGTTCCAGAAAGATACCTAGGGCTGGATCTGGCCCTGAAGGCTTCAGTTTGTTCACTGAGGTAGCCTCCTTCCTGAAGGCAACTTGTAGCTGGATTTCTCTATCCGTATGGACTCTGAGTGTGTAAACTTGACAGCAAATCAGGAACATCAGCAAGAAGGCCAGTTCACAGTAGGCAGAGCTTGTGTACATCAAACTTCAGTAAAATTGAAGAACAAGACATACTTCAAACCTTGGTCTCGTTGCAGGCCCTAGAGCCCAGACACCTTCTCTGGAGTTTCAACTGTGCAAATGTAGCAAGTGCTGGACACACAGGTGGTCACGACACCCCCTCATGGCTGCTTAGCCCTTGCCACATGACTCCCTTGGGGCAATTACCCCTTTACTATCGTGCCACGACTTGATATTAATTTCTGAGGAATGGGAGACTGTCCCAGGGCTTTCCAAGCCTGTTCTTACTCTTATGACCACAGCTGCCTGTGGTCCTTGCCTTAAGGGCTATTTACGTGGGCTCCATCCTCCCCAATATACACTCCCAAGCCGCGCAGATGATATGCTGATAAGTGCTTTTCCTGGGCCATGGGCTCCCAGCCTGAGTCCTTGCCGCTCCTGGGCTACAGGCTCCCTTGGCCCACTTGCTCTCCAGCTGTGGTCCCTGACCTTCGGTCTCCCTAGACCCTAGCCCTGCTCCTAAGTCAGTTGAGACCTCTGGGCTCTCTGGCCCTGCTGACACCTGCCCCTCCTGGCCTCCAATCTCAAGGCCTCCTGGTCTTACCTACTCAGCCCTTCCTGGGCTCCAGCCTCTCAGGCCCTCCTCCAACTCACCCTTCTCTGGGCACTTCCACCTCCGTCTATGCCAGGCTTCAGGTCCCAGGCCCGCTCTACTCAGCCCCTCCTGGGCTCAGGCTCTCTCCCCCTGTGCCCCACGCTATCTATTCCTCCAGCCTCTCTCTCCCTCTCAGCTAACTGGGACCTCCTTACTTCCCCTTAGTCCCTTCCACAAACCACCAGTTCATGTCCTGCCCTATTCCTGGACTCTGCGTTGCTTACCCTAGCACAGCTGTTCATCTAGGAGCCCTGCTGCCAGGAGCTCCTCTCTCTCTGGCTCCCAGGGTTAGAGTGCCCAACCAGCTCAGGCCCTGGGCTTATATAGTTCAAGCCTGGGCCCTTCTGGTCAGGCAACTCTCTAATCAGCCCCTGCCACACTTGCAAGCTGCTTCTCCCTCAGCCTTTCCTCTTAAACGTGATAAGTGCACCAAGCACCCCATCACAGCACCAAAGTAAAAAAAGGCTAAAAGAACTCAGAAGTTAACTACTAATGACATCCTGCAGAGTAAAAAAGAGCAAGAAGGCTGGCTGAAAAGCAAACTCCACAGACAGAGTGATTCCTACAACTGTACCTAGCTGCTGAAAGGAAGAAATTGAGGTGGTCAGGGCCACGCAGTCATTTTATAACGTTGGCTTTGAACATTTGGCAGTGTAAAACAGCAAGTGGAAAGCTGTAACGGCACTGCTGTCCACACTTTTTAAAATTCTGTTGCTGGTGGACATGCATGACAAACGTGCAGAAACCAGCACACTTCACCACAACGGTGCCTGCCAGTTCTCACCATGTCTTCATCTCCAACCACAGCAAAGTGACGCACAGTTTAATATTCCAGAGGGGCATTAATGGCAATAATGCAGTGAAATTTGTATGCATTTCTCAAGCATCTTCAAATGCTCGATTTATGGATGAAATCAAAATATAACTTTTTAATAAATATTTCAAAGGCAGAGAGGTGAATGCCACTGGTTCCCATTATACAACTTTGATTCAACATTGCTACACATACAATGACACTAAAAAGTCCAATATCTGTACATGAGGCAACTTTGGGGAAATCCAGGTCAAGTTTCTATGCCTAGATCCTTGCCCTCTCATACATCAAATCAAACCTGTAGGCTTAAACACTTCCAAACTTTTTGGATAACTTAGTCAGAACCTTGCAAGTCAGTCCTACCTCCAAGCAATGAAAACACTTACAACAAATAAGAATATGGAGCTACACAATACTTGAGCAGAGAAAAGCAGTGAGCCATGTTAGTCTGAAGTCAGGCAGAAGGCAGGGTAGAGATTAATTGTATAGGCTCACTCTACCCTTCCTTCTACAGCAGGGGTGGGCAAAATGCAGCCCGTGGGCCAGATGTGACCCACCAGGCCATTCTATCCATCCCACAAGGCCCCTAAAAAATTTGGAAAATTAATATGCATCTGCTCCTGGCTGCCTACCATGCGGCCCTCGATGGCTTGCCAAAACTCAGTAAGCGGCCCTCCGCCCAAAATAATTGCCCGCCCCGTTCTATAGTATACATAAAATGCATTTGATTTTCACTCTCCCTCCTCTGTTGAACCTTCTCCAACCACATATAACAAAAGGCTCTGCTATTTTAAGTTATGCAAGTACCAGTAAAACAATATGTTCTTTAAATAGGTAACATGCAGAAATAGGGGAAAGAAAATAGCATCCATATCATTTCCCAGTGCTGCAAAATATACTCTGCATTGTGTCATTTTGGCTGAGATGACATGCTGCTTGCAGCGAAAAGCTTTTCCAAATCAACTGATTTAAAAATGTTTCTAGATTGTCAGTGTAGGATGCAAGGGAGTACAGGAAAGTCCTTATTGAGGTATGTTAGGTACGTGAATAAACTGGGAGTCTTATGCTAGTCCCAAATTGATAGATGGCCACTAATTTCCTCTCTTGGTATTCTCAGATAGTGAAAAGGAACGCGGACTGAAGAAGCCACGTAAATGAAGGTTTCCCATCTTACCCTAAGATGTAATCCCTCAAATGTGAAGGCTGGGGAAAATGCCAGGCCAAGGTATGAAGAAAAGCTTTCACTGCCATCACCTGTGTGGTGCCTGTTCCATGAGACAAAAGACTTCAAACTAGACCACTCATTCCTACACATATTTTATTGTGTCTGACCCTATCCAGACCTTTATTTTTAGTAGCTCCCATTTACCTCGTCATTATCTCCGTTTGGTTTCTACCTCAGAGAGGAAGGGGACATTGTTTCTGTTGCAGGGCCCACACAGGAATGATACCACTTACATGGGTTAACCAGGTCCATACTTTTCACTCATATATCATTTGTGTGTCAGACTAACGTGTATGTTATTTAAGTAGGATTCAAACTGGAGCCAAACAGGTTGGGATAAAATTCAGATTTTGGAAACCAAAGTGGCACCTCAGCCATCTTAAATGCTGTCTGCTAAGTGGAAGGGAACAAAGGCAGGCAGACATTTAGGTCAGTGCAGGAATAGGAAGGACCTAGTATGGCTTGCAATGAAGTTAAAGGATATGTTGTCACTGACTTAAGTGGGACTGAGAGCAGGGCTGCACTGGCATGCAGAGGCCAGCGGGAAGAAAAACTCATCTTGGGTTCTGCCGCTGGCAGGCTACAATATGTGTTTTTCTTTTTGCTTTTGCCTCTTGCTTTCAAGACAGCATGGTGCGATAGCTCAGCAGGGGAAATATCAGTAAGTGTTAGATATTGAAAAACAATTCCAGCTGCAGACAAAAAAAAGGTAGCTTATCTAGTCCTAGGGGAAAAAATAATGCAGCACATTACAAAAGTCAAAAGGCCCTGATTAAGTGAAGTGCTTATGTATGGGCGTAAATCCCATGGAATTAAAGGGGACTCTAGAATGTACTTAAGTGGTTTACAGATTCAGGTCCTAATATAAAGGGAAAGGATGGGATAATGAAGACTAATTTCACAATGTAATGCTATTATTAAACTTTATGCCTTCATATTTCAAAACCTTATTGGGAGGTAGGCCAATAGGGTTTATCTACACACAAAATGAAGGTGAGATTATGGCATGAGTGGCTAGCTTTAGTCTCTCTGGCATTAGTAATGACAGCAAAGAAAAGGTGGGATGTAACTACATATCAGTCACCACTGTACCTGAGCTAACTTGGCCACTGCTGGGTAGCAGTGAGAGCTCAGCAACAAGCTGCAAAACCCACCCAAAAAGCTGTGTAAATACTCAGAT